CCCCCACCCGGGCGGGGGGGGGGGCACCCTCTTCTGCATCCTCATCCCAGGGCCCTGGGGGGCTCAGTGCTGCCTGTATGTGGGCAGGGGGTGCTGCAGGCAGAGCCTTTATCCCCCTTTTCCACCCCATCGCCACCGTTTCCAGCTGACGGGAAACATCAAAGCATTGTTTTCTCGCCAACCTGCCACGCTTCGGTGTCTGCTGGGAGCATGAAGCCGCGTCGCCCAGTTCTGAAACCCTGGGGATGCTGCAGTGGAGGCAGCGGGGTGGGGGGGCTGCGGCGTTGCTCCCTTGTCCCCCGGTACCCCACTGCACCAGCATCAACCAGCCCAACCGTCGCACTGCCTGGGAGATGAACTGTGCCAGCTGGGCTTCACCTGCCCCCGGCGTTGCCTCCTCACCGGCCTTGAGCCAGTCCTGGCTTGGAGACAGCCGGCGGCACGGGGTGGGGTCACGGTGCCCTGCTCTCCCCAGTCCCTCTCCTTTCCTCCCGGCTGTTCCCTGCTCCGGCACCCACCAGGGCAGCCCTGCTGAGGGGTGCCCACAGCAAGGTGGATGTCCTGGGGCTGGTGGCTCCCCAGCAGGACGGTGCATCCGGGTTGCACTGAGGAACCTGTTTAATGAGCAACGCGTGCCGCCGTGCTCAGGCCATGCCAAGGCAAACAATGCCGTGCCAGGGTTCCATCTGCTTGCTGGCACTCCTGCTCCGGCACCCAGCAGGGCAGCCCTGCTGAGGGGTGCCCACAGCAAGGTGGATGTCCTGGGGCTGGTGGCTCCCCAGCAGGACGGTGCATCCGGGTTGCACTGAGGAACCTGTTTAATGAGCAACGCGTGCCGCCGTGCTCAGGCCATGCCAAGGCAAACAATGCCGTGCCAGGGTTCCATCTGCTTGCTGGCACTCGGGGGATGTTGGGGTTTCAGCCCCCCTCGGGGAGGGGTCCACCCTGAGCATCCCCCCACACCGAGCAGCCTGGCTAAGCTGGCCAAGCCGGGGGACTGGGCACCGCAGGACGTCGCAACGGCTTAAACCAAAAATACCAATGCAAGAGGTGGCCAGGCACATGCTGGGGAGGGGGGGCAGCCCCTCGAGGGGTGGGTGCTGTGGGGGTCTCGGGGCCGCAGCTCTCCCTGTGTGTTTTCTCTTCCAGTCAGAGTACCACTACGAGTACACCGCGTGCGACAGTACAGGTTCACGGTGGAGAGTGGCTGTGCCACACGTGCCGGGACTCTGCACCGGTCTGCCGGACCCTGTCAAGGGCACCGAGTGCTGTAAGGTTGGGGGTGTGGGGGGTGGAGGGATCCTGGGGCGTGGGAAGGGCAGGGGTGGGAAATGAGGGTGAGGGAGGAGAGAGGAGCAGCGAGATGAAGCGCAGCTTTTCATCAGCTCCGTCGCAGCGCAATGCCTTCAAAGGCGGCAATGGGACCTGTCTGCTCAGCAGCAATAAGTGCTTGTTAGCACTGTCAGCTCGTCACCGGGAGCGCTACTGCAGGAGCGGTCCCTGGGATGCAATGGGGGGATGGAACTCCACACACACCCCAAGCCTTGGGGGTGCCATGGCTCTGCAGCGTGCTTCGGCACGGGGTCACATCCTGCTTACTGCTCGCTGAGTTTAAAGAGCTGGAGGTCAGGCAGGGAAGTGCCGCAGAGTTGCCAAAAATCATAAATTGGGGGGGGGGGGGGGTTGCCTTACTGCCGTGGGGCTGTGCAGGGATGCTTGGGACGGGGGATCCCAGCGCCGGGCGGGCACCTCCAATAGCGGGGAGGACTCAGAAAAGCAGAACTGAGGATGATGAGGCCAAAGCAGCACTGTGGGGAGTGGGGGGTGACTGCCCTGACTCCCCCTTGTTGCACGTGGGCAGCTTTCTCCTGCAAGGCAGGTGAGTTCCTGGACATGAAGGCGCAGGCGTGCAAGCCCTGTGCGGAGGGCACCTACTCTCTGGGCACTGGCGTCCGCTTCGATGAGTGGGACGAGGTGCCCCACGGCTTTGCCAACGTCGCCACCAACCTGGAGGTCGATGACGGTTTCGGTGACACGGTGGAGAACTGCACCGCGTGAGTCATCGCACCGCCACTGGCACGGTTCTTCCCCATTAATGGGGGAGTCTGGGATGCTCCAGGGAGGATCCTCGGGGATGGGCACAGTGCAGCAGTGTGCAGGATGGGTGCTGCAACACCTCTGTGCACAAATAGCACCCCACTTCCCTGACACCCCGTCCTCCATGCTCCCTCTGTCACCCTTCCCTGGGAGGCGATGCCAGCAAGGCTCTGCGAGGGACACCCCAGCCACAGCAAGGGGACACCTTGGCAGCGTCACCCCCACCCACAATGGCAGGACCCCAACCCCATGGGACACCCACACCAGACCTCCTGGGAGACAGAGCACCCACGGGAGTCCCCCCACCTTTGCGCCATGAGCCAGCACCTTTATTTTCCACCACAGCCCTTTGATTAGCACCGGCAGCCACCAAACCCTCCCAGCAGCCAGTTGCACCAGCAGCCGCCGAGCTGCCCCGCGCCGCAGCATTTATGGAACTTGGAAATGTAACCTACTGCCAGCAGCCCTTTAATTATTCAGCTGCCATCCCCGGCGCAGCTCTGGCGTGGCAGGATCCCCCTCTCCTCCTCCCTGCAGCCCACCTGCCTCTCGCCAGTGCGGTGGGGACGGGCTGGAGGGGGAAATGTCCCGCAGGGATAAGGGTCCAGCCCCACACAGTGACACATCCCCTGGGCTGTCCCGTCCATTCTCGGTCCCCAGAGTTCCCCGTGCTGTCCCCAAGCCCCCATGTCCAACGCCTCCTCCCTGCTCCACTCACCTGGGGACCATCACAGCCGTCCCCACTGTCCCCATCCCGTTTGCCGTGGGATTTGGAGCGGTGACAGAGCCCACAGTCTGTGCCACCCGCCTCAGGTCGACGTGGGTGCCACTGGGGGACTACGTGGCCTCCAACACAGACGAGTGCACGGCTACCCTCATGTACGCCGTCAACCTCAAGCAGTCGGGCACTGTCTCCTTCGAGTACATCTACCCTGACAGCAGCATCGTCTTTGAGTGCTTTGTAGGTGCCGGGGGCCAAAGGGGTGCAGGGCTGGAGAGTGGGGGTCCCTGGGGACATGGGGGGTTGTCCCTGGGGACACGGGGGGGTCCCCATCCTCACGCCAGCCCTGCAGGTGCAGAACGACCAGTGCCAGCCCACAGTGGAGGAGTCGCGCTGGATGCGGACAACGGAGAAGGGCTGGGAGTTTCACAGTGTGAGTGGGGGCAGGGGGCAGGAGGTGACACGAGGAGGGGGTCCCTTG